ATCGGCTCCCCCATTAGCTCAAGCCATTCTGCGCAGTGGCATCCCAGCCTCCCCCACCCCGACACCCCCATCGCTGCCGCCCATCACACGGGCGCCAACACTCTGCTCAAACCCTCATCGCCCACTCACAATACCAACACACCACCCACATGGTAGCGAACCGCTCTCAAATTAGCCAGATTCACCAACAGATCCAACAGACTTGGACGGCTCGCGGTATCTACATCGTGCCCAACTACGACCCGGATGACGACCCATGGAGGACACCTGAGGAACCACTACCGAGTCAAGGGGCGCACCCTTGGCCTGGATCTACTCCATCTGCGCCGGCTATGCCCTCTACATCCTCGCCTGAGTGGACTCCCCAGATTATCCCACATTGGCCGGACGCCCGCAACGCCCAATGACCGGCGAGAGTGACCTTCTTCCGGATAAAAAGTTTTGCTTCTACCATCATGCAGCATGTTTCATGCCTTGATGAAGGTTGTGTTTTCCACTGGACTGGCACTTTTCTTCTACATTGTCGTAATCTTACTGTATTATTTTCGTCGTCGACTCCACCTGCATCACCTACAACGCGAAGACAGATTTACCGCCAGATCCCTCAAACAATTACAAGAATTTTTGAGCGACACCGTCGCCGTCGTCCTTCAACATGATCACGAACCACAACATCTCCGCATTTTCTGCCCCCGCGTTTACTTTCGTGGCTGCTTGGCCACGTGGCAATCGCCAGAACTTTTCCAACCATTGCCAGGCGATACCAACCAGACCATTTCTAGCATCATACAACAGACCTACCCCGCACACTTGCGCAAAAAATACAAATGGGGCTTCATCACCAACTTCAACATGCCCTATGGAGTCGTTCACCTGAAGGCCAAGAAACTAGACGACGGTTGGCCCGAGAGCAAGACATGCAATTGTCCAGCACAGTCGAAAAGATGTATAGAAAGAGAGAAAGAGAGGGTGGATGTGAAGGAGTGACAGTGTGATGTGCAGGTGCGATATAGATCTGTAGATGTATGGAGGTGGAGAGGTAGATCTGTGGATGTGAGCGTGCGAAGATGTAAATGCACAGAGACGAGAGAAAAGATATGTAGAAAGAAAGAAAGACAGGACAGATGTGAAGGAGCGACAGTGTGGATGTACAGATGTGATATTAATAGATGTGCAGATGTGTGGGTGTAGTGAGGTGGAGAGGTAGATCTGCGGATGTGAGCGTGTGAAGATGTAAATGTCGAGAGGTGAGGGGGTGTAGACGTAGATGCGTCGATGCAACGGCAGTGCAACGTCAACCTTAGTTGCGCAAGTACAACAATGAAGAGGTTCAAATAGAACTGAAGAACGTACATTTCACACTGAAGTTTCCACGAACAGGGCGACCTGAGAGTAAACGACGTCACGATCATGACAAGCGACTTGTGTATTCCAAGCGAACATCGTGCGTCATGAAGGTGAAGTATACACACATACTAACGTCACGATGACTCTTTTGTGGCAGCCACTTATATGAGTAAACAAAGTAGCTAAAAGTTGTCAACCTCTCAACAAAGCCGGGTGGTCGGGAGACATGACTCAGCTGGAGGGGCGCCAGAGCAGCCACGAGAGATGACTCATCCGCGTACTAAAGTTGTACTACAAAGTCGCCAGTTCTCAGCTTCCAGCTCCACAGCTTGCTCCGCGTACTAAAGTTGTACTACAAAGTCGCCAGTTCTCATCTTCCAGCTCCCCAGATACTCCGCGCACTAAACTTGCACTAGAAAGTCGCCAGTTCTCATCTTCCAGCTCCCCAGATACTCCGCGTACTAAAGTTGTACTACAAAGCCGCCAGTTCTCAGCTTCCAGCTCCACAGATTGCTCCGCGTACTACAGTTGTACTGCAAAGTCGCCAGTTCTCATCTTCCAGCTCGCCAGATACTCCGCGTACTCAAGTTGTACTACAAAGTCGCCAGTTCTCAGCTTCCAGCTCCACAGATTGCTCCGCGTACCAAAGTTGTACTACAAAGTCGCCAGTTCTCATCTTCCAGCTCCCCAAACTAAAGTTGCACTACAAAGTCGCCAGTTCTCAGCAGCTTCCAGCTCCACAGATTGCTCCGCGCACTAAAGTTGTACTACAAAGTCGCCAGTTCTCATCTTCCCGCTCCCCAGATACTCCGCGTACTAAAGTCGTACTAGAAAGTCGCCAGTTCTCATCTTCCAGCTCCCCAGATACTCCACGTACTCAAGTTGCACTACAAAGTCGCCAGTTCTCAGCAGCTTCCAGCTCCACAGATTGCTCCGCGCACTAAAGTTGTACTACAAAGTCGACACGCACGATCTCCGCAGAGGGTTGCGCCGGACCGGGACAAATCGCACTCTCGCCTGCATTTCGCGCATCCGACACCTCGACACGCACGAGCTCCGCAGAGGGTTGCGACGGACCGGGACAAATCGCACTCTCGCCTGCATTTCGCGCACTCGACACGCGCGATCTCCGCAGAGGGTTGCGACGGACAGGGACAAATCGCACTCTCGCCTGCATTTCGCGCGCTCGACACGCACGATCTCCGCAGAGGGTTGCGTTTCGCGGCGGTCCGGCGGCGCTGCCCCCGGCCTTAAGAGAGAAAGTTAAGAAGAGCGAGAGGTGAAGATGTGAGATGTAGATGAGGGGTAAAGTTGTGAGATGTAGATGTGAGGGTGTGAAGATGAGCAGAGATGTAGATGCGCAGTTGTGAATGTAGATGTGAAGATGAGCAGAGATATAGGTGAGAATGTGGATGTGCAGAGGTGAAGATGTGAGGATGTAGATGAGACGTAGTTCTGCAGATGTTTTTTGTCGAAGAACCCTTCGCAGACGCTCTCGGGAACAATGGAAGAAAGGCCGTGCTATCGTCTCGTACTTCAAGTCCTACTACGGGCCATTGTTGCGCGTCACATCCAATGTCCTTAACACTATGATTCACCGGCTCCTACCTCAATCACCAGGACAGCTCTCGATACCACAACTATGGCACCACTTCCACGACCACCTTCATCACACTCCAGATCATGTGGACCTCTACGCTGTGAACGATGACCTTGTGGGTTTCTTCAACTCCGTCCCTCAGGACCGCTTAGTCGACGCTGTTCAAAGCTTGGCCAACCGCTGGCAACATACCTTTGACACTCCTACCATCACCGTCGACGCCCACACAACCGGCGATCCAATCCAACTAGCCCACATCGGCCGCCATCATCGTACACTGGACACTAGCGACATCACCACTATCGTAGCACTAGCTCTCGATTCTTGCAACGTTGAGGCTTGCAATCTATACTTCCTGCAGGTTCGCTCAGCCGGGATTGGCTCCCAGCTCTCTCCTGCTTTGCGCAATGTCGCTATCGCCCTCATCGAGCACTCATGGCATCAGCTCCACCACTCCTTGACGGACCACACCGAGATCCACTTTGTCTACTACCGCTACGTGGACAACCGCTTCATAGCCTTCAACCGGACATTCCTCACCCACCTCGCCATCCAGACCCTCATTCACCCAGACTTCTACGGCAACCCAGTGGAGCTCGAACCAGTGGAGGACATGCACCTACTACTGGGCTTTGATGTGGACCTTCACCAACGGACTATCACCTACACGCCACCCGACGCTTCATGGAAAATTCGCGATCACGCCTCAGCTGGCTCCACACGCTTACGACTTTCGGGTTTTCACTCCAGAGCACATCTCATCCGCAAGTACACCTACCCGTCCTCGGCTGTCGAGCAAGCGCTCGCTCAACTAGCAGACCTATATGTCCAAAAAGGACACGATCTTCACAGCTGTCGGCAAGCACTACGAAAAAGTCCGCACTCCGAGCTTCTTCACTTTTGAGGTTTTCCTTGAACCCTCTCTCCCCCACAGAGAGCGCCGACCACGGCCATCTGTGTGTGTGTGTGTGTGTCAACGCCTGTCTCTAAGGATTTCTCAATCTCCACCTTACGACTTTTTACTTTTGGATTGTTTCCAACAACTCCCTATTGTACAGCAGCAGGGGGCCCATGCACACTTGGATGGCATGGGCCAATGAAGACCCATCCAAGCTGTCGTGAAAACGTACCTGCAACTCATTTTTAGGCCTTGCCAGTTTTGTGGTGTTATCAAGCTGTCTACTCCTGTGTTTTGCAGTAAACCGCTAATGCACCAAAACAACTTGTTAAACACCTTCAAATCTACGGACTTCCTCGCCTTTCGGTTCGTGCACTTTTCTTCCAGTCAAGGGGGACCTCGTACTGATCCTAGCTCTTGCGAGCAACCATCTAAGTGTGTGTATGTGTGGAAACCTTGGTGCCTTGGCACTGACAGAAGGGACAATGTGCAATTATGCAAACGCACGGCCCGCACGGCAACCGAAAATCATACAGCTGAGTGTATTCCAACCGTAGCTCAGGTTGTGAGTCACCAGTCATGCGTTTGCTTTTGCAACTTGAAAGTTGGAGACTTCTCGATCACATTCGTTTGACCTTCGGCTTTTGACATCTGAATTGTTCTTATTTGTATGGTGGAGTGAGAAACTTCTACACCCTGCATTTTAGACGCACATCAAGTGAACAACAACCTTAAACTAATTGGTTCCTCTCGTACACCTTGATCCATAGTGTGGTTGCCAATCTTGGTCCGAGATGCCTGAAGAGTGACGTCGAAGATGTGCGCATATGATGCTGCACATATGATGTTTGTCAGCAGGTATGTTGCACTGCGTGCATGTTTTTCGGGCGCGACGCAGCGGACAGTGTAACGACCATACTCATTTTGCGATCACCCCACGTTGTGAGCCCCTATGCCAAATGCTTTACATCCGTGTGAAATGCACAATATGACTATTGAGATCGAGATCAACATAACAGTGTGTCTTAGGTGGTAGGTGGAGGGAAAGTTGTTGCAGCTACACACCCAACCACAAGATTGTGTTGGTATGCTTCCAAATAGGTCTGGAGCGGAAGGAAGAGGGGAATGCGCCAACCGCTACATGTCTACGGCAAGGCTTGTTTATGCTGCCACACACGCCCGGAGTGTGGTGGAATCTGGTGGAGCCCTACCTTTGCCTGAGACCTTAGTTGGTTTGAAACAATGCTATCACAGAGCATTTGGACTCCGTTGATCGGACTGAGGCCAACTTATATAGCAGCAGCACTTGCAACGTTGATTATCATCCTCCTGGTTTCAAAAGCACCTACCCCAGTGAATTTCAGGTATCTTCCGGTAGTGTATGCGCAGCCTGCTTGGTCCAAGGTTGCGAAGCGTGCATTAGAGACAGCCAGAGACAAAGGGCCCTATATACTTGAAGAACATATTGTTTCTAGTGGTCTTGAAAAGCGTCCACACCACCTTTTATTCTATTGTGATTTCGAGGCAGCCATTTGGCTTCAGTGTTGTGCAGATGTTTCCATTCAGAGGCGTTTGCGTCGAGGCAAGAAGGGCATTGTATCATTCTCAACCCGCAAGTTCAAACATTGTATCGATTTTTCCGGAGTTCAAACGTGTGGAATCCGAGCTCATCGACTGCAGTACTTGGATTGAGTGCAATGATTTTTTATAGCGCGCAGCCGGCGCAGCCGAGGCTTTGCAGATGGCATCAGTTCAAATTGATTTCATTCGAACATGTTCTGGGAACTTGGACCAGTCTTGTTTGTCCCAGCACGGCCTCAACTTGCTGACAAGCAGGTTGGAAATCACACCCGCCAGAGGACAGGATTCGCATTGCAAAGAGATTAAGTACACTTTCCAGCAGCTTCACGGGTTCCAGATTCTTCAAACCGTCCCGTAGGTGGGCCTCCACCCGATCTCAGGGGTTGATGCCGTGGGTGCTGCCAGGCCTAAAGCCGAAGCAGGGCAAAAACACAAATTCTGGAAGCAATCTCCCATGAGGGAGAGGTCTCCGAGTGCAAAGATAAGGCGGCAATTCCCTAAAGGAACTGTCTCTCCTCGTTAAAGCGTCTGAAGGTACGCAAAGATAGAGACCAGCCATGTCGAGAGGAGCCACCGTAGAGCAAAGAAGGGCAAAGATCCCATGGGAGGCTTACTGTAGAACAGGGCAGTAGACGCGGACCACGATCTTGCACAAGAAAAGCACCCCAGACAATGGTATCCGAGACACAACAGAGCGTGCACAGGCAATGGTTTGTCACTGCCTTGTACTGAGAACATTGAGTCTCATTGTAGACAATCAAGAGAACGTTGTTTCCTCCAGAAGCAAAAAGGCTGCACTGCTGGCAGCTCAGTAGGTTGACCACTAGGCTAAGGGCGTTCCATCATGGTCAAGAAAGCGAGCCGAGGCAAAAACGCTACGGCAACAGCAGATGTCAGTAGCGAGGACACCAATCTCGGCTTGGTTTACCCCCAAGACACAAAGTAGTGCAACCAAGAGTTGAGGTCAGAGCATTGACGTCACGCATCAACAAGTCTCCTTCTGACGAAATTGGAGGCAAAACACAGTGCAAAAGCTGGGTTCTTGAAGGTCTCCATCATCTCCATCCACACGAGGATAAAGTTGATGCGGTGTGCGTCAATGGCTAAACCAAAAGGGCCGTCAGCCGTTCAACTAGTGAGAAAAGAGCAAGAACAGCGGGCAAAGAGGAACGAGATCCGAAGTGTAATATGGTTCTGGACCGTAGTAAGGAATGACTCAGGGCCGAGGTGAGGTATATCCTCACGCACAAAAGCAAGATGCACACCGTCACGCCACCTCACCCCCAATCACCCGCGGCATGTGCATCCAGGGGTAAGGCATCGGCACCGCGGTCACGGGTTCCAGATTCAGTCAGCTCCAGTTCTTTTCAAGCTCTGGAATTTGAATTTCAAGCCTTATTTCTCAAGAGTTTCTGCTGAGCTGTCGTTTCATGAAGGCTGCTTGCATCAGCTTATTTCACTTTTCCTTGCCTTGCCCAGCATTCCCTTGTCGCCGTTGCACACCCGCTTCACCTCATTTTGTGTTGTCATTTCGGTAAGTTGAGAGAAAAGTGTCCAGTGTGCTTGTACTTTTGCAGCAACCACCTACAATGATTTTGTATGACCCTATGTTCATCGGAGCACAACCATTGCATGTATGTTGTTGTACTGTTCGTCATGCAGCATGCAGAGAAGGTCGGTAGTGGTATTGGATTCTCAGAAAAGCATGTGAAAACACGTCTTGGTGCCTTTTTCAACAACAAACAGCAATCAGAGGCGGACTTCATCAACAGTCCGCCAAATGCCAGCGAAATGACAATCCTTTTGGGGCTGCAGTCGTATTTTGATGCCATGGACTCCATGGACTTATCAAAATAATGCCCTGGAAAAGTTCGCGCTCATTATATAAGCGTTCAACAGATCAGAGCTGCAAGTGTTTTGTTTGGTGATTTGTTTTCTGACACATTTTCAGGACTGCAGTAGCTTTTCTTTGAAGATGTGCCCTGAACGTCCCTTGGAGGTGTGGAACTGTTTCTCAATGGACTTGATGGAATTGATTGCAATATTTTTTATGATGGAACAAGAGGCAGCATGTATGTTACTCATGTAGAATGTAGAGGTGCTCGTCGTGCTCAAGGCATTTTCACACTGCTACCTTTCGGATCAAACCGGTTTGCCTTGAATAGCCATTGAGGGCAACTGCTTGGTGCAGTGCCTGGCGGCAGAGTGTCAGGATTTCGAAGGCCTTGTCAATGAGGGCAAGCAAGTGGACAAGCAAGACATTGAGTTCAGGAATCAAAGGAGTCAAGTCGTTTGTGGACATTGCGAACCAACAGCACAATTCTGTGCCGAGATCAGCAACAAGGTTCTTGAATGAATCGTTGACCAAGGGACCACACCATGCCTGGACCCATCGTGCAGGATCAGGATGGAACATGAACCGGTCCTTGGTGTCGGCAATGTCCTCAAGTTTCCGGCCACCATCTTCCATTGGGGCAGCTCGTGGCATGAGGATCGTCGTGGCCACTCCTGTGAATGAAGGGAAGCAGGTTGACATGGAGTTTGCGGATGGCAGCGCCTATCGCTTCTTGGTTGAACATAGCACTGCCCACACTTACAAGCACATTCACAGAATTATTCCCGCACCTTCACACTTCATTCCTCCTTGGGTTTGGTGCTTTTGGGCTAGCAGCCAGACAGCTGAACAGAACAGCTTCCGCGTAAGGCACTTTGACAGCCAGTATGTTGGTTGTTTTAACTTCAGCGAGAGCAAGGCATAGCAAAGCTACAAAACATTGGCACCACCCCTGACAAGTCAGGCTTTGCTTTGTGGCTGAGGTATGTAGTTAGATCCGTCGGCATCATTTGAGGCATTCATTAGTTTCTTGGGTAAGGTCCAAGGTTGAGAGTCCTTTTGCTCAGGATGTTTGTTCCGTTCCCTTTCCTTTGCTCCTCTATGTTTCTTTGCTTGCTGCATCTCTACCTGTTTGTCTATACGTTTGTTTGCTCCATTTCCCTCCGTGTCAGTCTTCCTTGCTTTCCTATTCATTCCTCGCATCCTAGAGAGCTCAATCTCAGCTCTATACTCAGCTGTGTTTGCTTTAACATGGTGCAGTATACACATGGACGACATGCCTGCCACACCAGCGTCACTAATTAAGAGGATTCACACCACCAGCCATAGGGCAGCACATCTATCTCTGTATTCGATTTTTGTTCGAGCAAATCGGTGCATCCCAACCCTCCGGGTCTTAAGTTTGCTTGCGTGTAGACCTGCCTGTGCTTGGGGCCCACTTATCCGAGGGGGAGAGTTTCCTTGAAGAAGTCTGAGCCTTACTGGGATGATTTGGTTCCTGGATTCTAGGGGACATTACATAAGTTATGTGAATCCGTCTCAGGGTTTGCGCCAGGGTCGCCAGGGTGTGAACAAATGTGTCAACTGTGTAGTCAATTGTCCTTTGTTTCACAACATTTGGACTCTTGCGGCCCTTGAGTCACTGTGGAAAAAGACAGCCCGCTGACCGCCTTGCACGACCAGTTTCGTACAGGTAGCGGAGCTCTACTGAGACTGCGGTGCTTTTGCAGGTTGACACCCGGATCCTCATTGGCATTGACTTCGGGCCCGTCTTGTGGAGGGAGAAAATCGCTGCCACCCTACACGCCAGACCGAATTCGGAATGTCCGTCGGTCCGTGGCTGTGGCCTTCGTTTTGGAGGCGAGACCACGCTACGCAGGAGACCCGTGGAGGCAGTCTCGCTTATGAACCCTGATGCGCACTCTGAGGAATGTGAGAAGGTGCAGAAGATGGATCAGGAATCACAAGAATCTCCCAGACGAAGACGAGGAGGAGTTGGATGAGGGCGGATTAGACATGTTTCCCTCGACGATGGCGCTGCCGGAGAAAGAAGAAGACGACGAAGAAGAAGAAGGGTTCATCATACAAGTCCATGACTTCACAACAGAAGACACTGGCAGACCTTGTGAAGGATAGGCTGACCTTAAAGTGTTGGACTGATTGGCGGGGGGTTTTCCTCTGCGAGTGGACAAGCTTACGGCGGAGGAGAGACTTCAGATGCTGGCGGTGCACATCCAGGAAAGCAAGTTCCCGCGCCAGTCGGAAGGGGCCTATGAGCATTTCCAGATCAGGGCAACGAAAGGACTCCACTTGCGGATCAACACGCAGTTGCTGTGTATGCCCCTCGACTTCGACAAGTGTGCCCAAATCACGATCGGTCACCATGCCACTTTTAAGGCAGCGAGGTCTAACACTTGGCAGGAATGAATGAGAGGCCAGGCCGAAACGGGCCTTGACTTTGGAGATGAAGAAGGAGAACACCATGGACATTTGGCGGGGCTGAAGAAGACCCCGGGCATGAGGACGATTCAGTTGCCTTGGCCACCTTCGGCAAGAAGAACAGAAAGAAAAGGGCAATGAACATTCAATCAAGGGCAAGACTTGAAGACAGGGCGGGGGGACCTACATGCGAGCTCCGCCGTTTTGGAACAGGCCCAACGTCAGGCAACGTTTCCAGCCCCAGTAATGGCAAGGAAATGGCGACTCCGCATTCGGCATTCGAAGCGCCACCCAACCAGGATCCCAAAGAAGCGGCCCTTGATGAAAGAGGTTGGTGACTTGCGCGCCTGAGTGCCCCAGCCAAGCAACAGGGAAGCGTGTGCTCAGTATTGGCGTCAGACATCTGGCCTACGCAAGATCAAGAGTTTCAGAAACTCAGACGCGTGGACCATGTGACAGGCATTTATTGCCAGCTGGGTTCCGATGACCGCGCCAGAAGGTGTAGTCTAGTCTAGCACAAATCCTTTGGCTGCCAAATTCCTCTGCGGAGCAAACATCAACTTTACTCACAAGGTGGTCTCTGCCAAATTGCGTCGAAGGGCTATCTAGATTCAATCATCGTGAGACTTGTAGCTTCTGTAAGCTATTTGCGTTCAGGCGCGGTACACGAAGCATTGAGGTGCGTAAGCTACAGGAGGTACGGTTGCGTGGTAACATGACGCGGTTGAGAAAGTGGCGCAGTACAGTGGTGCGCCTGGTATGATTTTAATGTGTTTCCTTGGTGGGGTGGGGTGCACATTTGGTACAGTTGACACTTGGTGCACCTCTGATCATTTGGTTGGCGACTACTCACCCTTCACCTTGAAGAAGTTTTCCTTTGACCCACAACGCAGGCCTCCTTGAAATTTCGCCTGCATTGCGTTTTTCGTTTGAGCTGTATTTTTACAACATAGCTATATATAGACAAAACAATAAATCCACCAGGGAATTCAATATAGACATAGATTGAGGCATGCAGTAAGCTTCAAGACATTCCTCCCAAATTGGTCCATATTTGGAATCTCAATGCCAAGGTATGAAGGGTTCCCACTTCGCCAGCACAGTGCCCACTAGACAACATGGACACAGAAGAAGACCTGCGGCTGCAAATCCAACATCTCTTGGCACGGTAGTTCGATTTTGAAGGCAAAACCTCACGTGGTGGAGGTTCTTCAGCCAACGAAGAAGCCATACTCTTTGGCGACCTTGGTTCCTTACCATCAACTCGCCACTCGCTACGTTCCCCCGTTGCTTGTTGCAAAACAAACGCGCTTACGCCACAGATATGGGCCCAATCTATTGCAGCGATGTACCCACCGTTCTGTGCTTGTGAACTATACTGCGCCCATGGTACCAGTCGTCCTGTACCCGCTTTGGGGGGGGCAGCGATCCTGCTATCAAAAGTTGGTGTGCGTAGCGCAGGCACACTCTGAACTGTACTTTTGTTTCAGTGGGCGCAGTACAGTCGGCGCTTCTGAGTTCTACTACCTTCTTGGGCCGCATTGACGAATCTGAACCTGCGACTATTCAATAGAATAGAGACGAAGGGAATAGAAAGTAGAGTCTTGCACTAATACTCAAGCGCCTGTTTCTCCCATGCCTCACTGGTGTTCACGACCTTTTGGAATGGATTTCAACTTTGACTTATTTAGATGTTGCCGCGAGCGCCTCGTAATAGTCAATAGACCAATAGCAATGAGAGCAAAATGAGTCGTTAGCGCACGCGCAAGGAGTTGCATTGCAGCACGGTACAGAAACAACTGGGTCAAACGACAAACTGACAGACTGGACACTGTCATTGATTTGCGAAGGGATGATGTTCCAATCCTTCCAAGTGTGTGAGAGCTGATTTGTCAAGACGTTCCTTCAAGTTCACTCACCAATGTGCCTGCGCGCGTGTACTATGTTCTCTACGCGCCGCAAACCATACCCTATGTACCACAGGACCTATCGTGGGATCATCTCGAAGATCAAGTCCTTGTAGAGCGGCGTAACGAAGGACGAGGTATTCAATTGCGGAGGTCACGCGTGGATGAGTGACAAAGTTGAAGAAACCAGCGATGTCCTGTTGATAGAGCACGAGGTCGTCAGTTGGAGTGAGGGTCTGAAAGAGGTGCCAGATGTGACGAAGTAGCTGGAGGGCGTCAGACAGGATCATCAATTGAGAAAAAACCATGCGCAGGATGCAGTAGACGGCAGATGCCACTGTTTGGCTAAGTGGCGCACAGACCGTCTGGGTGTGGGACACAATGGGGCGAGCTTTAGGCTGAAGGTAGTCGGCGATCCCATTTGTATTGTTGAAGACGAAGTGCAGGTGGCCAAAGGTCGCGTAGGCGAGACTTGATCAAGAGAATGCCGTGAGTGAGAGGTGTTAAAACAGGTGCAGGTGGTTGCAGGGGAGGGAAGGAAGGTTTTGTGTAGGAGGTGGTGGTAGTGGCATGGACAGGAGAGAACAGCAGCATGTGGAAAAGTGATCCGCAGGTCCGACGACAAAGTGTTTGGTGTAGTGACGGAATGGCCTTGTAGGTCCAGGCCTGGTGGCCTCCACTAGCAGACTAGTAGATTGAAGACTTTCGACGGGCGACGATGATGGTCAGGAGAGCTGCTCGAAGTGCGATCGCGAGGCATGACACCAAGGGAGGGCGCAGATTGTGGCGACAAGTGGGACGGTTGTTCAAGCTGAAAAATGGCAGCGGTCACGAGTGGGAAATGTGTGGAGAAACAAGGGCATGGGCATGTCAAGTATGTGGGTGGGCGAATGGTGAAAATGGGTTCAACCGAAAGAGAGAATGCGGCGGCGGTCAGGCATTGTTTTCTATCTAGGTCAAAAAGAAGTAGTTAGAAGTGCTCCATGGGAAGGGAGGCAAGGAAAAGGGGCAATGAATGCGTGATGAATCAAATGGCTGCAGGTGCGGGGAATGTGGGAGTACAAAAAAATGCAGTGAATGAATGAGGGGGGGAAGGCGAAAACTTAATAAGTGTGATCCACAACATCAAAAACAACAGAAGGGAAAAAGGTTAAAACTAAGTCCTCACATCGTGCAAAGTAAGAGGTCTCACACAGTAAAAGTGCATCCTGCAACTGGCGAGGGGAAGAATCAGAATCCAGGTAGTCAAAATGCTACGATGGTGGCGGCTGGTCAGGGTCCATGTAGAGCTCAGGGCCAGGTCCAAATGGAGCAGGGTATCGAGGCAAAGAAGTGCGCGGCGGGATCCACGGTTGAGTAGGTAGAGCATGAGGAGGATACAG